TAGTGCAACAGTGAAGTTCAATGCGAGAACGAAAAGATTCGCACGTTTGTTTTTTACTCGATTAAAATTAAAATGTGACAATCAAACAAGAAATTTATTGTATATCTGATATACAATATAAATAAGTACGTCTAATTCTTCATTTTATTTATTATATACGAAAAAATATAATGTTTCTACTAGAACGTGTCATTGCGGCCTAATTGTATTCGTTTCTTTTTGTAGTAACAATACAATACGACCTTCGAGAATTCGTAAAAAACGAATGTCGTGTATGTCGTGTTTGTGATTCTTCTCCGCAGATAGTTGTCGTTTTAAAATATGTTGATAAAAAGTGACCTCGGATACACAAGAAAACGGTCGTGAGAATAAATCTTTTTCTGTTTGATTTGTTGATGGTTGTGTCCACAGTTCCATGCTATATCTATCGATGGATATTGTGATTGGCGGTTGTTTAAATAGATAATATTTTCCGAATTTTCCCGCGCAAGATGTTTTCATCATTCAGATATTTTCATAGAATAATTTCAATCCAAAATGAAGCTTATTATATGACGTTACGGATGTTTTGCATTTTCTTTTCAGTGCCAAAGATCGAGAACGTCCAATGCTAAAAATGTCACTAAAAGATGCCACATTATCGATCGCTCGAAGTATATTGTCACAGTATGTCGTAATTAAACGTGACTTTTGTAGTGATATGTTTAAGACCATTATATCCGTCGGAACTCGCATGCCAAACAAACGATCTTTGGCCACAATCGTTCGAAATTCGAATTTTCTGATCGTTTTAAATCGTGTTATGAAAAATTCACGATATGACGTATTTTGCCTCCATTGTTGCGATATATTTGAATCGTCGAACTATATTCTTCGTATTTTATACTTCGTATTTCTATTCTATTCTGTCAAAAATATATTATCACGTATCCAGAAACATGGATAAATTTACGTGGTGCAATAATAAATTATTATTTTTTTTTTTATGTGAAACGTGCTTTACGTCGTCAAAGATAGGAGACAGGTTATGAAACGAAATTTCAACAAACTTATTATGTTTGCATATTTATTCATGGGTGCATTGGCTGGTGTATTCGTGAATCATCGTCCCCTAACTGTGAAAGTGCGCAGTTTAAGCCTACCCTTCTCCCTCCCTTGAATCTTCTACGCAGTATTAAGGTCTTGGTTGATCTGTACTGTGACTACATCATTCGCAGCGGACAACTTTTTGTCAGTGTTCAAATACAGTGCACGCATCAAGTTCCTGTTCCGTCGTCTCTTGTAAACAAGTTTATGTGCACCTTTCGTTTACAAATGTAGATTTCATATCATGTAAGATACGTAAGATTCGATGTTTCCGATATATTTATCGATCTTTGTTAACATTCGTTTTCCTTTGATTTGTTTAATTTTCCTGCTATTTGAGATATTTTTCTTTACTTTTCTTATTTTCGTTTTAGTTTTTTTCCAAATTTTTTTCACGAAAATCAAGCGACAACCAAAATTATCTACGTATAAAAAAATAATTTTATTTATTAATATTCGAAATATTAGAAGCACAAGTGACAGTAGAAATGTTTGGCGGTTTTACGGGTCGCCGCTAAATGGTTTGCTAAATTCAGTCTACGTCGTGTCTGCGTGATGATTCGAGGCCACTCGAAGAATAGCTTTTATGTCCAACACGTGAGAAATGGATAACGGGTGAAGCGTGGATTATCGATTAACTTTCAAGCTGCAAATGACATATCGAATTCAGTCGCTCTCTAATAAATAAATCATATTTTTGTTTTATTTTTTGCACGGCTTTCTCTTAATTTAAAAAATAAATCGATAAGATTAGATCGTGTTCGAGCTGCTAATACTTTTAATTTTAAAAATTCTGAAATCTATTTCGAAATGTCTATATCGATTCTTTGAAGATCTATATTTTAAAGATTTCGTTATATATTTATTTTGATAATCTATAATAATAATAATAATAATAATAATAATAATAATAATCATTACTCGTCAAACTTATTAAATTTTTAATAATTTATGGATAAAAATATACGCGTACAACTTTAACGTTGCAATTATTAGAAACTTCTTTATTTCGAATTAAGTGAAAATCAAGTCAATAACCTTATAACTGTATATCCAGTCAGGTTACTGCCTTATTCTATTCACGGAGCACCCGGTATATATCGATTCGTCTTTCTCAGTAGACAGGGTCTGACGTAGCCTCTTCGTAGATAACCTTGAACTTCAACCTCGACTTGGAGATACCACCATTAGAAATATATTCTCTCCCATTCTCCATTCATCTTTCTCATCATCGATTGTCGCGAGAGAGGAAGATCGATCGATAAATCGGGAAGAGGGACGAAAATACTCCTCTAATACTCAGCTATCCTTGCTAATGGAAATTAAACACCGTATCTCTTTCCCCTGTTAGAAAGGTTTACATAACAATGGTTAAAGTTTCGCGGTCGGACAAGTATTATCGTCCAGCAACGAAGCGGAATCGTCAGGCGGATACACGCGATGCCAGAAGAATAGAAGATGCATCGCCGTTTCATGCACGTGGATATACGTTGCATTTTGCATAATTGGCCGCGCACGTTACGTAAGCATTGTTTCTACACCGACGGCGATTGTCACCGTTGCGCAGCCAAGGCAATCGCATTTTGCTGCCTACATGCTGTGGTCAAGGTCGCCGGTTTGTAACATCAACTTGAGGAATCCCGGTAACGGTGAAACAGCATTTTGTCTCGACGAGATTTTAGCCAGTGACATTGATTGAGCTTTGTCTATTGTTCGCTCACTGATTGTTGTAAACTTCTATTATTGGATCTACTTGTCTGAACTTCTATTATTTAATCCTTTGTGATTTTTAACGCTATTCGAATTTTCTATCCATTGCTTCGGGATATGAAAATATTTTCATAATTTCGATGAAATTAATAGTAACAGAGAAAACAGATGTATCTCTACTCTATGTAATCCAGTTATACTCGAATCGAATTGTGCGAATTGTCCGTTTTCTTATGGATTCAGATAAATGGAGTTCTTATACGTATATTCCTTTATCGTAGTTTTGAGGATATTGAAAAAACTTTCTTGGATAGAGATTCACGTATTTTGAATACGCGAATTTCGATAATTGATTATTCGTAATTCAATCAAGTGTTAAAAAAATTATTAGAATTATTACAAGAGATTAAGAAGATATATTTGATATCATAATAATAATAATAATAATTTAAGGTTAGGTTTCTCTAAAAATAATCTTGAATATGATAGATATTAATCATCTTTTTAAGGTTAAGTTAAAAGTATACTTGAAAAAGCAACTTTTCTTAGTGTAAATGCAGATTTCTCGTATGAACTTTTTGGAATTCGATCTGGGACTCTCGATTTTCTTCGTCGACTTTCGAACACGTAAAAAGCGTGAAATATCGTGGCCACTCGGTCGCTGCCTCTTTTGATCTCGCCGGTTTCGTGTTACAACTTTTCATTTTCGTTCGCTTTTACTCTCGTTCTCCTTCAAGACTCGCTGGTTTATTCTCGGTTTATGCACGTATTTTAGTCCTCTGCAACTTTGAACACACTCCCAAAGGATCTTCGAAATCTTTCAGAAGGACATTTTAGTTAGCATACCCAGTCGCAAAATTATTACGAGTTAATTATATAGCTGTTATTATTAGATATTCGATCATTTTTATTTAAATACTTTATTCGTCGATTTATATAATTATTTATATAATTATTTTAATTCATAATTTAGATGTGTATCATTGTAAACTTTCTTGATTTTATTTACATTACTTGATTTTTTTCTTTTTATTATTTTCCATTTGTCTTTTTAATCTGTCAAATATACAAAATAATAATAACTAGATACCGTATCATGTTTACTCTAATTAGAACCCATTTTGTTAACAACAAATAATATCGTTTCACTATAGCAGAGATAAAGTTGAAAAACAAAATGTTGTCAATTATATATATATATACTTTTTCCATACTCGTCATATCTTATGCTTAATAATAATCATTTAAACGTACGACTCGTAGAGTGAACATGGATATCTTCGTATTCGAGATTTTTTTGATTGTACAATTTTAAAAAAAAATTTTCACGTAATCAGAAAACTTAAAATTCTTCGTCGAGTATTCCTTTCTCGTTATTCGTCAAAGCTCGATTCTCAAGGGTGCCGGGATGCCGATTTTTGCCAAGTCGAACTTCCGCTCACGTTACATCACAACGTTAACACTCGGCATCGTCGAGTCTTATGCTCGATTCCGAACAGAAATTCTATCTGGCTCGGATTAACGTCCCGCTCTATTTATCATTCGACGATATTCCTCCCTTCTCTTATATATTTCTCTTCTTGTTTACATTTTTTTGAATAATAAGCTCGATCAAAAAAAGAGAGAGAGAGAGAGAGAGAAAAGAAAGAACAGAACGAGAGAAGGATCGTTTCGCAATTCGGCACCACGATAAGAATTAAAACGAGAGATTTAATAAAGCGAGCTTATAAAATTTGGCGAATTTGAATTTTGTTCGGATCTTTATCGAGAGACTTTCAAGCTAATCAAAAGTTTTTTGTGAATTTAAAAAGATAAAGATAGATCTCAGTTTCTCAATTAAAAAACCTTTTTTTCATTAATTCTTCAATTATAATTTTGTATAACAATTATTTTTGCGAAATTTCTAATTGCGGATGTAATGTTTGGGTACGAAATATTACAAACTTGCCTCTTTTTTTTTTTATTGTAGCTATTGAATCAAATATATATATAAAAAAAAAATCAAAAATTGGACAGACGTTAATTCGGTTGCCCTCTTAAGAGCGCAAAATTTTCAAATATTACTCTTATTTTCCAAGATGTATGTATAGATAGATACATTTTATCCATAAAATACGCGGAGGAAGATCTATATCGTGGGCCAAATCGTGAAACGTTATGTTAAAAACCGATGCAATAAATTCCATTCTTGTTCCTAATCGTAGAGCGATCGAGAGTTGACCGTTCGAACGCGAAACAACCAAAGAGGAGTGCATTGAACGAACCAAATCGATACCAAAAGAAGAGGGGAAGTTAGCTCGATTTAGAGAAGGAAGGAGGAGGAGGAGGAGGAGAAGGAGGGAGAGGTGGAGGAGGAGGAGGAGGTGATGGTGATGGTGGTCGGCTAGTCGTTTTTTTTCGTTTCTCGAGATGACGCGACAAGGATATCGTGCGTGTTTCGCTTGAGAGTAGGATCTTTCGGATTCGTGAAGTGTAGTAGAAGAAGGGGGAGGGGGGGTGAGAGAAAAGAGGAAAGAAAAAAAAAAGAAAAAGTAAAAGTGACGAGTGAAAACAGGAAGATCAAGACAGCCAAGATGATGAAGAAGGAGAAACCGATGATGTCGGTGACCGCCATCATCCAAGGGACTCAGGCCCAACATTGGTCCCGTGGGAACACTTGTATGTATATCATGACGTTATTTATATAATTGTATATAATTGAACAGTCCGTTTTGTACAGGATATTCCATTTATCGGACATTTGAGACACGTTTGATTTACGTAAAATATAATAATATGGTTGACTTGAAAATGGTAAAATGTAAAATATTATTCGCATAACGTAGATATAAATGGACCATCCTGCACATACACGCGGAATTCAATGTAATATTTCACAGTTATATATATATATGCGAAAGCGGAGAAAGAAAGATGCTATTCTCCGTGTCGTCAAATGCGTACCATTTATCGCATTCCCAAGCCGTTAGATTACGCAGGTTTCATAAGAATTATATTGTTAATAAAATACCGAATTGCATTAAGACGTCTTGCAAGATTCCATTGCACGCGTATGTAAGACATATTTGTGTTTCATAAAGTACTCTTTGTTCTATAACATAATTTACAAAGTTATCTTTGTTGAAAAAAGATAAAAATTCATAATTCATATATATAATAATCTCTTTTGAAAATATGTGTATATATATATATATTTATTTATTTTATTATATATATTTAATAAATAATGTAAACAATTGACTTATTTGTCGCATTTAAAAGTAATTACATGTTAAATGACATTACTGAATTTCGTAAATACACTGTTCATTGCAGCTTTCACTATCGTTCCTACCGATTAAAATTAATATCATTTGAAACATCCCACGTCATGAATTTCAATATTTAATGATACCTAAACGAAACCCATTGTTAAATGTGTGCGAACGATAATTAGCATACTGCTGGTAGTACAGTATAGTCAATTAACACCGGTGCCAAGGCTTGCTCTTATCTACGCTCAAAATGATCCTTTTTATAGTTTCACAATAACTTGTGGTTGTAGAAAAATAATGGTAAATGGAACGATGGTAGTTTGTTTCGATCATTTTTAACTCTCTTACGTTTTTACGAAATTATTATAAAAATGATTACACATGATTATCACAAATTACTAATTTGTATTTGTATAAATTATACGATGCTATCTTTACGAGAATTTTAACGTCTGACCAAACACAGGACCAATTTACTCGATTTACGACTATTTGTCTTATTCTCACACTTATTTTTAGCTATGTTAAACAGTTATTATTGTCTATTCTCTGCTTTATTTTATCCTTTTTTATTGATCAACACCGTTTAAAAATAAATCGTTAACAAAAATTAGAATTGAAAAGTCTGAAAAGTCTTTACGATTCATTGTTCGCTTTCCAACTTTTGAATAAACATGCATACTTACGTATTATCATTCATGTATTATCGATATCTCGGCACTCGAGTGACTCACGCCGATTCCGCAACCGCTCGTGGATCGGGCCCGTTTAACGCTCGATCGTCTAGCGTTGAACGCATAGGGTGAAGGTCGGCTATTGAAACTTGAATGGCGTGTAGAATTCGCGAGTGAAAACGCATGCGCTCGCGGCGATCTCGCCGATCACATCGTTATCAGTCGTGGCTTTAAAAGCGGCCTTAAAGCGGCCCGCCGCGAGAAGGTCACGCCAATGCGCCTCGTTATCTACGCCTCTGCCGCAATTTACGAGGCTTTTCGAGGCTTATCGCGTGCCCCTGTTGCCGGCCAACAAACGCGGAATGACGCATTTCGAACTTCTTTTTCGTTTGCCTATTTTTCTCCCCCTTCCTCCTCTTCTCCTCTGCTCGAAATAGATTTACGTTACGACAGATTTTTTTTTGGATGGAAAAGTTTTTGTATTTCTTATTTTTAAATTTTAAAATATCAATAAGATAATTTACGTTATGTTGTTTCAATTACGAAATTGAAATAAAAAATTTTTGTTTATAGAAAAATATACAAATATCGCAAGTTTCCTGCTACAAAGTTAATAAAACGAAACCTACACGTTGATATTTAAAAACTCTTGGAGCGTATATTCAAATAAACAATAAACTTTTATTCGCATCATTTTATACGAGATTGAAAATTCTCGTATAAAAGTGTAATAATTTTGCTTTAGAAGATTATCTCAACTATTGCTTGACTTATCGTCGCCAGATGTCCGATTAACTCTTAACTTTCTCGCAAGTATTTTTCCTCTATATATTTTATTTAAGATAGATTTCGTATAACGTTTATCTATAAAGTAAAAAATTTTTGTAATACAAAAATAAAACAAAAAAAATCCTATACCTCGATACTTACTGCTACAAAAAACCAGGAAAAAAGAGTCTCTGTTGAAAAAATACCTCTATCTCCACTCCCATCCGGAATATTTACAGACCTCTCCCCGATACTTGGAGGAAGGCTTCCTCTTTCGTCGTGAAAAAAAGTGAACTTCACCTCCTTCACATAATTTCCACGACTCTATTTGCTCAGTCTAGATCTCTCAGTCCACCTTTTGCCGCAACACACACGTCCGCACATTGTACGCGTTGTAATCGTGGCGCGTAACAACGTGTGATAAGAGCATAGGACGGTTCTCGCAGAGCGGTTCGTGCTGGTTCGATTAATCCACGCACTAGCACGAACGCAACCTTGGCACCAATGCGAACCAACCGTGAAGTGCAGCCTCTGTCGCGGCTGCACACGTGTGCACCACCACTGGTGCACACCTCTTCTGTTTGTGATTAGACTCGACACCGCGTGTGGGTGTTAGTTAGCTCAGTTTGAGCAATTCTGGCCAGACGTGCACGTTTAATTAATGATTGGAATAATTGGACTGACATGCCTGTAGCATTAAAAACGTTCATCGCCGATCGAATTCTTTTACGTTCTATTTTTCTGATAAATTCCTTTTCACACCACGTTCTTATCTTTTGAATCGTGGAGGTAAAATTTAACGAACGAATTAAATAATTAATATATATATATATATATATTTTATATTTTTAAAAGTAAGAAGAATAATGATACGATTGAAAATTTTTAACAGGACAATTATTCTTTATTGTTGAAATATTAATCATTGATAAAATATATCAAAATTTGTTCTTCTTGTATAAGTTTTTATATTTTTTATATTACAAAAAAATATCATACAATTTATTATGACGCTTTTTTCTTTAAATTCTTCAATTATATATTTATAGACTTTACGTTATAATTTTTCATTGGACGCATTAAGTATTCACATCGGTTGTTAGATAAAGTTTTTCTTCTTGTATTGAATAGACGGTTACCAAGCTGCATAACGTTTTATAAATCGTGAAGGAATAAGAGGGTACGTATTGAAGAACATGTAGAACGCGTGATGAATGTGAATGACAGGTTGAATCGATTAACAAATCAAAGAGAGACAGTGGCAGACTCATTTTATCGAGGTTTCGGTATTAATCATCGTCAGTGAGATCACTGGCTCGCGGGCGTTCGCGTGATCAAGATCTGAGAACGTTTCGAATAAAAATTACGCGTTTCGAAATCGATCTCGAACGCGATATCGAACAATTTTCCGGGTAAGCGATAGAAATATTTTAATTTTCCTCTAATTTATTCATTCCATTTGAATTTACATGCGGTGATTTTTACAAGGAAAATAATCTCAGATAATCGAAGTGCTACACATATGATGAATCGTCACGGTTTTAATTCTAGTCTCGATGATTCATGCGATTCGAACATTATCGATCAATGCATGCGATCGTGAAATTGTTCCGCGCGATTATTCTTGCGCGGAAATGTTGCGATTTCGTTGATTTCAATTTATCGTTGATTATTCCAAATATACGTTTTTCCTTTTCATTCACTTTCACTTGGATAAATTTATTAAATTAGGATCGAGAAAATTTTACTGAATATCGAATATTAAATTTTAAAGGTAACACGTTTCTTCCTTTGTAACGCGAAGTCACGTTTCATTGCTTATAAATAATACGAATTACGAATGTAGAAACATAGCATACTAATTATCGTAAAAATAGATGGAAGACAGATTGTGGTTACCACCCCCGATGGTTGACAATAGTGTATTCGTCGATATCTCGTGTCAAATTGAAAGAAATTCTCGGTTCCGATCTTTTGTTCTCGCAAAAGATTCGTAGATCGTACGAGTTTAATTATCGAAATCCCACGAGATTGCAGAAGAAGCATGATAGGCAAAAGGCGTCTTACAGGAAGCTATCATTCATTGTAGTCACGTTGGAAGGTTTCTCGACGTGGCTAGTGACCGATTAGATGTATCTATTACGTGGACGGATCGGCATACGCAATCGTAGCGGAACGATCGTGGCGTTAATAAACGTTTCGAGCACGTATTCGCATCATATGGAACGTGTAGGTCTCGTGTCGCCACTAAGTTTCACCGAGGTATTTCCATTGCGTTATTCCTGATGCAATCGGCGAATATCAGAAATCGTTTAAATACCTTATGGTGTACATACAGTCAAAGTTTAGTATTCTCGCGAAAATTTTATTATCGCACGATGAAAAGATCATTTTTATCGAAAGGAATGATAATTAATTATTAATTTATTATCGATATAAAAATATATAGTTACAGAGAAATTGGTTCGATAATAAAATATACTTGATCAACGAAATTTTGGGATTGCATTAATATTTTATTCGAGGATATCGTCTCGGGGATTTTTTTTCTTCTTCTCTAGAATCGAGCAGTAATTATTTCGATGACACGCGATTTCCTTGATTTAATGTATACTTTTAATTACCATTAAATACTGTTTTATCGAGTAATATGCAATCATGTTTTTTTTACCTAGATTCATAATCGATCAATTTTTTTTTTTATCGGAGCGTAAACTGGTCGGAAGTTATGGAAATGTAAAGAATATATAATTAATTATTCTGTGTATAATTTCCTGAAGTTGAAGTGTTTTATTTAACATTTTGTATGTAATGAGATAATATTTAATTATCGGAAAAGATAATAATTTTATACGTTTACGAGGAAATTTCTCAAATATAGATGAAAATTCGTGAGATTCGATCGAAAAGTTTTAAGAAGTACCAATGATAGAAAGAAAAAAAAAAAACTAAAAAAAGATTG